CCAATCTTCAGAACTTACAATCTCCCCGTTTGGCAGATAAATCGGAAACCATTTTTCATGAACCTGCAAAAGACTAATACATATTATGCAATATACAAACCTTCCTAAGAATATTAATCTCACACGTTTTGTTCTTAGGAACAACTCAAATACCTGAATAATAGCACATTAGTTCACAGAATATCCCACAAAAAGTTCATCATACGTAAGATAATAAGGCATAAAGAAAAGGAGTTCAAACAACCACACGGAACAGAGTTTTTAACAAAACAAAAATGAATATCCTGCTGAGAGATGGCTACGCAGACTCTTCCTCTTCAGATTCGTTCCTGGAACCTTCTTCAGTTTCCTCCTCAGTCTCTTCTTCGTCATCTTCCTCTTCCTCATCCTCAGCATCAGCACCAGCTACTTCCTCTTCATCTTCGCCCGAACCTTCATCTTCTTCCACAGCATTTTCTTTCCCTTGGCCTTAGTAGCAGCAACAACCTTCTCTTTTCCTTTCGCGATTTCCGCAGCAGTAGCCTTGGGCTTCTCCCCCTTAGTAGGTACCTTCTTCTTTTCGGTAGTGACAATGGCCTTCTCTTTCACCTTCTCTCCCTTTTTCGATTTAGACACCAAAGGGGCTTGTGACTTCAAAGCATCGAGCACCTCCTTGTAGTACCTTCGTTGATCTGCCAGTTTCTTTTCAAGCCCAGAGAGGACAACCACTTGTTGGTTCATGAATCCACGCAAGTGAGAGGGAACATCAGAAGCATTGACAAAAGATGGGCGTGGAGGTGCAGACTTAACAGCATCAAGGGCAAGTGGTTTGAGCGTAGCTGAGAAATTATCGCCCACACGAGGGTCCATTTTGACTCCAGCCTTGAAAAGAATAGCACAAATGGTAGACAGATAAAGCAACAATTTGTGGGGCTTGGAGATTTCTGCAAAAGACACCACGACATCAAAGATTACTGAACCAACATCAAAAGGAACACCATTGAAAATGCAGTATATAACGCGAGCCTGAGTAGGAGTTGGAAACTGTTTGTGAGAAGTCGGTGTGCAGTTCGACGCTCTAA